ACCTTGAAATCTAGCTTTGGAAAAAAAAACCATTTGACATTGTGTCTTCCAATAAAGTCTTATCAAAATAAAAAAAAGGTCAAATTTTCTATATTAATAGAAATGTGTTGGAAGACACTTGGCTATAACTTCTGAAGGAATGGTGCTAGGAATTTCATATTATTCTATATACATGTATATATAAGCATTTCCCATGACGATGCCTTTCTTTGGGGACCGGCATTTTTGACCTACCGGCCTTGTCCCTTACCCTTTACCATCACTGTTAAACATGTGGTGACAGGCTGCTAGAATTGCATAGGGAATTCGAAAGAAAACGTGATACTAATTATACATACCGTAAAATGGTTTGTGTGCGTGTGTGCAGGTGTGCGATTGTTCAGCATTGGTTCAGCATTCAAATTCAAGTAATATTTAGGTTTTCTCAGAGGAGAATCAAATTGAGATTCAGATATTGCACATGTATTTGACATTAAGATAATGTAACCTTGGGTGTGTTGGTTCGAGTGTGTGAGGGTGTGCGGTGTGTTCGACTGTGTTGGTGAGGTGGGGCAGGGTGTTACACCATCTAGATGTCTGTGATATTTTGATGTAGCATTTGATCCACAGTTTTTAGATAAGGAAGACCTTCTCTGAATTATTTGGATTATCAATGTAAAGAGCATTTACGTCTTTAAAGGAGCATATTGGTGAATCTGTTTTGGTTAAGGTAGAGTGGGTTCAAACACCACGTGCTTTATCGAACCATGCATGGGAACATTGTATGACTTATCGATGCAGCTTGCAATGCAATAGATACCCAAGTAGCGAATCTTTAACAAAGTGCTATAAAAGGATTGTGTCTGTCATGTGCTATGAATATAAATCCGGACGCTGTGTGAATCATTGGTAAAGTTAATCTGCTGACAAATATCTTTCTGATTACAATTTGAATAAAAGTCAAGAGCTTTTCGACATGCCGTTTTTCATTTTGTAAATAAAAAGAATCTAGACTTCATAGACTCTTAAATTAAAAATAAATGTCTTAACGAAAGGAACTAATGACCCAAAATGGACCAAGTATTGCGTTCTTGTAAAAAGGTTAAGCGAGATATTTCATTAGTCCCTGGGAAAGAAACATTCAGAATTATCTGATGAGGATAGCAAAGCGATGAAAGTTAAAAATTCAAGTTTATATCATTTAAAATTCATATATACTTTTTTAATATTTAAGGAATGAATTTAATAGCTACTCATTTTATACGGTATAAACTGGGTTGGGGCAGTTTACGCTTTATAAACCGCGAATCGGTATAAAAAGGCGTAAACTGTTTCAATCCAGTTTATACCGTATAAAATGGGTAGCTATTAAATTCATTGCTTATAATTTAATTTTCATTCATTTAATGTAAGAAATAAAGATGATTGTTCAAACCAAATGACTTTAATTTGTACAAAATTTGAATTTAACGTCAGGCGGATTGATACGTTTTTGACGCAAGTCATTGTGACGTAGGCAACCCATTTTATACGATATAAAATAATTTTTTATCCAATCAAATACTTCGTTACAACCAGAATTAAATTATCATTAATTTATAGCATATTCAAATTTTTATAGTTAGGATTATGAAAAAATTTCTCAATTTAAAAAATATGGCCTTCAGAAACAATTTTTGATTTTTGACATGTTTTGATTTTAGACATGTTGAGGTTTCCTCGCACTTTTGCCTAGTACACATGTATCAAGAATTGATGTAAATGAGCTTTGAAAGTCAGAAGGATATAAATGATTATATGGTACAGCTGTACCCGTTTTTAATTTTTTGTGGGAAAATTAGTCCTAGTTTCAACCAAAGGTCTACTTTCGTTAATCTCCAGATTTAGAAGGCCCTTGATTTTATGAGCTAAAAAAATGCCGAAAGAAAAGTTTTCATTCTGAAGCCGAGTTTACTTGTATCCGGAAGTGTGCCTTCACAGCTTTACGTAATACTACTTTCCGCATAGAGGTTTTAAAGACAACGATTTATTTTATCGACTTTAATTCTATTTGAAAAAGTTGCTGGTCTCTTCATATCATGTTAAAATGCAGTACACAAAATTCATTTTTATAGGTATGTATTCTAATAACCAAATAATTAAATTTTCTATCTGTGTGTGTATGTGTATCTTTTTATGATTGCTTATTTTAGGTGTAATAATCTACATTCCCGAAATGTTCTGTTCATGGACGTTATGTCCAGAAAACGGAGTATCATATTTGTTTAAGGACCAAAAGGTTATCTGGAAAGATGCTGCTAGACTATGTGAAGAAGCCGGAGGAAGTTTAGCGAAAGTACAGTCGATTTTTGATTCAAATTGTATTACCAGTGAGTTAATTATTATTTGTTATTAAAAACATTTTGAATTATGCATCATTTTTGTTTTAAGCAATAATGAACTATGAAACAATAAATCTTCATTTCAGGATATTTAAAAAAAAATGGTGGCAATTTGTTCATTGGAGGAAACAAATCCTTTGTTTGGAAATGGATAGATGGTACTCGCATAACTCAGCCGACATTCTGGGCTCCAGGTAATGTGTCTATTGACCATGAAAATGCAAAGGCTTTTCTCAAGAGAATATAGAGAGTGTTTATATCTTTATAAATACTAGTATTCAAAGAAAAACGATCAGATTTTGGTTCACAGTCATTCATTAAGAGTGCGTTGATTTTCCTCAATTGTAATATGGGACCGAATTTATTCGGGGCGTATATTGTTTTTGTCCTGTCTGTCTGTTTAGCTGTTTGTCTGTCTGTTTAGCTGTTTGTCTGTCTGTTGTCAACATTAACCTTCGCCATAACTTTTCAACCATGAAAGATAGAGACTTCATATTTGGTAGGCATACTCCACTAATATAGCACTTTTAACCGACACCAAGGTCAATGACCTTGTCACCTTGACTGTGACCTATATGCTAAAATAGCTTTTTCGAACTTTCGCCATAATTTCTGAACCATAGAAGATAGAGACTTCATATTTGGTATGCGTACTTCACCAGTGAAGTTCTTTCAAATACCAACAAGGTCAATGACCTTTTGACTTTGACTGTAACCTAAATGGTAAAATTAAAAATAGCTTTTTCGAACTTTCACCATAACTTTTGAACCATAGGAGATAGAGACTATAATTTGGTATTCATACTCCACTAACTAAGTTCTTTCAAATGACACCAAGGACAATGATCGATTGACCTTGACTGTGACCTAATTGCTAAAAATTGCTTTTTCAAACTTTGTTGCCGCCGGGCGCATAGTGTTTCACAAACACAACTTGTTTTCACTATGCAATTCATTTAGCATGAGAATAAGATTTTACGAAAAATAGTGAAGACAGTGGTACATTCCGTAAAAGAAAAGTACTTCGGTTTAATTACTTGTATACATCTTGATGGAAAGATGCATGGTTCCATCCTCAGGTGGATCCTCCTTCTTCAGCTGTTTCGGCGCTGTCCACTACAGCCTCCAGAGGTGCGCCGACTGGGGTGATCAAGTCCCAGCCTGGAACCACTTGGCTGTACATCACTGCTGTACTAATTCAGTGTCTGTCTTACTGTTGTTTATTCACATCACTGCTGTTCTACCTTTAATGTCTATCTCACTAATGTTTATTGTCTTTCCACTTATCTGCTCTTCTTCTCCACAACCACATGGACGCTGATTCTGCCTCCCTGCACAGACTCCCTATCAATCTCCTTCTCTCTGCTCCAGTTATGCCAATGGCTCTCAGTGCTCTCCACATAGACTGTCCCACGAATCCTCTACAACCCACTTCCACTGCAAAAAAAACAGACCTTCCATCCGTTCTGCTGACAATCGTTCAGTAGGTCTTGGTACTTAAGATTTTTCCTTTCATATGCATCCTCCATCCTTTCTTCCCATGGCACTGTTAACTCCAAAATAATTGTCTGTCTTGTAGCCATTGACCAAAGGACTACATCCGGCCTCTTGTTTGTGGCTATTATTCCGGCGGAAATACTAATCTTTCCTTAAGGTCTACCCGCATCTGCCAATCTGTTGCTGTCCCCAAGAGACCACTTCCTTCAACTCTAACTTTATGTCCCTTTTCACCTTCTTTCACAAAGTTGACGAATCTCAGGCTCTCTGCGTTCTTCTTTGGCCTTTTAATACCTTTCTCCAAGGTGTCAGCTATACTGGCTAGGACTCTATCATGTCTCCAAGTGTATCTCCCATCTTTCAAAGCCTCTGAGCATGCTGATAATATGTGCTCCAAGTTTGCTGGTCTACCACAGAGGACACACTTTGGATCTTCTGTCATTCCCCATGTTACCAGATTAGTTGGGCTGGGAAGAACATCATAAACTGATTTCAGCTTAAACTGAAGTCTGAATGGTTCCATCTTCCAAATATCATTCCATCCCAACTTCACTTGACGTGCATTTTCCCAGTTCACCCAGCTACCTTGTTTCTTCATTCCAACTGCTTTGACCATTCTCGAATCTTCCTCCATTGCACGCACCTCTCTCTGCACCAAACTACGCTTCTCCTCTACCGAAGCTGTACCCCATCTTGCTGTTGGTGTGACATCAAGTCCCTGCCTTCCTATTGCCAGTCTTCCAACAATGTCACTGTGTCTCAAGCGGGATTCTGCTTCTTGTACAATTTCTTTTACCGACCATTTTCTCCCCGTCCTGATATCTACTTTTGCTGTCCGAACCTTCTCGTCTTTGCTATTCTGTAACATTAAGTGCTGACGCACCTTTGTCACCTTGAATTCCTCAGTTATTGACTTTAGAGGTAACTGTAGCTTAGTCCCAGAGCTGTATGATCCAATGCTGCTGAAACTTCGTGGTACCCCCAGCCATCTCCTCAGGTATCTGCTCGCTGTTGTTTCCATCCCTTCTACTGTGCTCATTGGTACCTCATACACCAATAGCGGCCACAGCAAGCGAGGTAGTATCCCATGTTGGTATATCCAGGCTTTATATTTACCGGGCAGTCCACTTTTATCCACAGTTTTCATCCATTCATCCAGCTGTCTGCATGTTTTTTTTTCACATTTTGTCTGTCTGTTAATGTGTCATTAAAGAATTTCCCTAAACACTTTACTGGCTTCTCTGAGACTGTTGGTATTGCCTCTCCTTCAATCATGAATCTTACTTCTTTTACTTTTCCATTCTTTATCACTAAGCTACGGGACTTGCTTGGGTTTACTTTCATTCTTGCCCAAGTGATAGCTTGTTCTAGTTCATGTATTGTCCACTTGGCTTCAATAACTGTTTTGGTTGTTATTGTCATATCATCCATGAATGCTCTCCCAGGTGGTTGGCGTACTCCTGACTTCATCCATGGCCCTCTGCTCTTCTTCTCCACTGACTTGACTATCATGTTCATTGCTGCTGAAAATAGCATTACGGATATGGTGCATCCTGTGACTATTCCAACTTCTAAGCGTTGCCATGCTGTTGTGTAATCCTGTACTGTGAATCTTATTTGAAGATGGTCAAAATAGTCTTTTAAAACTACCCTCGTCTTCTCTGGTACATGGTATCTTTCAAGTGTCAGCTCGACTAGTTTATGGGGAACTGTCCCATATGCATTGGCTAGATCTAGCCAGATGACTGCCAACTCCCCTTTGGACTCCTTTGTTTCCCGGATAATCAGTGTCAGTACACTTGTATGCTCAATACATCCTGATACTCTGGGTACTCCTCCCTTCTGCACAGCGATATCAATATACTGATTCTCAAGCATGTACCTAGACATTCTCCTCGCTAAAATTGCGAGGTATATCTTCCCTTCTACGTTCAGGAGCGATATAGTCCTAAATTGTTTCAATGCCTCTGATTTCTCTTCTTTGGGAATAAAACAGCCTTCTGCTCTGTACCAGCTATCTGCCAATCTGCCCCTCCTCCAAATCACTCTTATCAGTTTCCAGAGGCGCTTTGTCAACCGTTGACAATTCTTATAAACTTTATAAGGAACACCATTTGGTCCTGGTGCTGATGCTGCTCTAGCTTTCTTGATAACATCTGCTACTTCTTTTAGTTTTGGTGGTGATTCATCAAAGGGTTGATTTGGTTCTTCCGGTTGTATCAACTTCTCCCACTCCCCTAACTCTTCCTCCCTATGTGGATCACTGTACATCTCCCTCAAATATTCCTCAACGTCTTCCTTCGAAGATTTCAATGATCCAGACCCTTTATTTCCTAGTAATCTTGATGTAAACTGAAATGGGTCTGCTGTGAATCTTGCTCTTGCTCTGTCTCGCTGTTTCCTTCTACGCCTACTTCTGTCTGCTCTTCCTGCTATCTTGAGATGTTCCCTGATGTTATTTCGTAACTGTGATAGGGCCGGTTTCTCCTCATCGGTAGCCTTCCTATACTGCTTACGAAGCTGCCCCAGGTCTTTTCTCATCTTCGCTATTTCCCTCTCTCTCCTGTTCTTCCTTCCTTCTTTTTGTGACTTTTTCCTTTGTTCTGCACCAAACCTGTCTAGACCTACGCTGTATATAATTGATGTCATAGCTTCTATTTTCCTGTCAATACTGCCTGCAAGAGTTGTGTTCAGAATTGCATCCACATCTTGGTCAAACTGTTCCCAGTTGCTTTTGTTGTTACTGTTGGGCCATTTTACTTTCTTCTTTCTTATATTACTGTCAGCACCCCTGTTGTCTCCCATCTCTTCTTGCTGTTGATTGATGCTCTGTGATTGGTTATTGTTCTCGCTGTCATGACTTTCACTGTATGAAGCCTCGTCGTTACCTAAGACATGGAGGCTGCGGTCGCTGTGGTCTTCGTCCTGAACCACTTCCTCCTCCGTCTCACCAGGTTGCCCTGTGCGTTGTGTTAGTTGCTGATCTGGCTTACATCCCATCCTCCCCAAGTGGATTTTAAGCCCCTTTTCATTCTTGCATACTTTCCCACAGCTGCATACATTTCCACTGTTCGTATTCGTCGTCGTTTTTCGTTGCCTAGTTGTATCCTGATTTTCCGTCCCAACAGGTCGCTCATCCTCCCCCGCTCTCGCGCGACCTCGGGGGTATGTAAGTATGTATCTGTCCATAGCGTGATGAAATGGGTCCTTCCTCACGGAAGATGTGCTTTGGCCTGCCAAGTCTCCACACCCCTGATCCCAGTCTCTCCTGGTTGTCTCCTGTCTCTCCAGGTTCTCACTGAACTTTTCTCAGTTGTCATCCAGACTTTCCTGGCTGTCACTGGTTTCCCAGATAATATTACTTGTATACATCTTGATGGAAAGATGCGTGGTTCCATCCACAGGTGGATCCTCCTTTATCAGCTGTTTCGGCGCTGTCCACTACAGCCTCCAGAGGTGCGCCGACTGGGGTGATCAAGTCCCAGCCTGGAACCACTTGGCTGTACATCACTGCTGTACTAATTCAGTGTCTGTCTTACTGTTGTTTATTCACATCACTGCTGTTCTACCTTTAATGTCTATCTCACTAATGTTTATTGTCTTTCCACTTATCTGCTCTTCTTCTCCACAACCACATGGACGCTGATTCTGCCTCCCTGCACAGACTCCCTATCAATCTCCTTCTCTCTGCTCCAGTTATGCCAATGGCTCTCAGTGCTCTCCACATAGACTGTCCCACGAATCCTCTACAACCCACTTCCACTGCAAAAAAAACAGACCTTCCATCCGTTCTGCTGACAATCGTTCAGTAGGTCTTGGTACTTAAGATTTTTCCTTTCATATGCATCCTCCATCCTTTCTTCCCATGGCACTGTTAACTCCAAAATAATTGTCTGTCTTGCAGCCATTGACCAAAGGACTACATCCGGCCTCTTGTTTGTGGCTATTATTTCCGGCGGAAATACTAATCTTTCCTTAAGGTCTACCCGCATCTGCCAATCTGTTGCTGTCCCCAAGAGAAAACTATACGTTACGACAGTTGACTTTAGTAGATCAAATTTTTCACTTTAGTAAATCAAAGTATCTTAACTATCTCTTGTATATTAACATTTTATTTCAAAAATTTACATCATTGCTATGTTACACTGTAGGAAAGCCGATGACCGCATTTATATATAGTAAGCATTTTAAAGCTATATATGCCGTATTAGTGTTTTATTTTAAAAGTAATAAATATATGTGGTGTCTCATCAAGTTATATAAGTTATATACTCTCTGCAAATAAGATAATTCCACTCCATCACTTTTAAAAGTTATGAAATATTATTTGGTAAAAATTATTTTCTCTCCGTGTCGGATAAAAAACCGCCTCTTATTGAAATATTCATGATCACGTTGTCTCGCATGTTTACAGCAAACAATGGTCCAATCTCGTGAATGAACCGAAAAGCATGATGGTCTACTACGATTATACTACAAAAACGTGAGTTAGGGATTGTCAATATTGAGAGCACCTCAGAGTTGGTTGCTTTTTGTCTTTTCAATGGACATTTTCGGTTGGGTGAACTTCTACAGATGTCAGCGACTATGGATAAAGAAGTGTGGAAACCATCTTGTGCCAAAATGAAATAACTAATACAAAACAAATGATATCATTTGATCAATCAAAATGGTTATTAGATACATTCGATTCTGCATTTCTTAATGGTTCAAAACAACAAAAAGTATTCCACAGAATAACATGTATAAATCTGCACAAAATACCGAATGCCAAAACCAGAATACTTCTAAATAATATAATTATATTCTTTACATATAAACCACAGTATTTTTGACCCCTTGAAAATAATATAAAAAATCTTGCAAGTAGGTTATCAGCATTGGCTCGGGCTAATTCGAAAGTGAAATTATGAGTTTGGCAGTAAATTGTAGTGAATGAATAAAATTTAGCAGTGAAAGATATTGGAACCTATTTTACTTCGAGCTGTTCTATCCCCCCACCCACTTAAAAAAAACGATGCTACCTACCTAAATTAATTTTTCTTAATGATGTTCATCGAAATGCTTGGTTGTGCCCTCAAACTGGAATAGTTTTTAGAGGCCTGGAATTCCTTGACCAATTTTATTTTATTAGCCCAACTATATTTCTAAGAAGGCAAGATGTATGCTATGTGAGCTTCATCTATATATATTATGTAGTTCATATTAAAAAACCAAAAGGGATAATTGACGATATCCCATTCAGGGTGTAAACATAGCAGTTTAAATTACTTTCCGTACATTGTACTTGACATAAAATATTTTTTGCGCATAATGCGCTCCATACTGAAGATCCGTAAATACCCAACCGAAAATGTCCACTAGCAGTACAGCAAGGGGAATCTCTAAACATTTGTATGCAAATATGCGCATGGGATTAGTAGATAATAATGTACATAATGCATCAAGTCGTTCTGAGAGCTATTTAAAAAAACTAGCCTTTTTGAAAAACACGTATTATTGCAGCCCGGAGGACCGGGCTGCTCTATACATATTAGTTTAAGTGTTGGTATATGGGGATTAGGGTGGGAGTAGTTATTCAGAATTAAAGGTTTTCTGAACAATGAAAAGACCGTTAATCAGAATGTTCTTTCCCTTTATAAATTACGAGATACAAAATATATTTACTTCCATAAAGTGAATCTGTAAAAATATATATGGTTTTCATATTTAATATATAAAGTTATTTATCATTTACTATCGAAAAAATGACAGGTCCCTTTTTTTAGAACATCGAATTTTACTTCTCGCATAAAAACGTACTCTGCACAGTTCGTGTTTTATATTCTAAAATTGAAAATGAAATACATATTTGAATATAGGTGATGCATGTGTCTTACTTCAATTTATATTTTATGCAGCCAAAGTTTACTCGAGGAATTGAAGTTTAAAATGGTATCGTTTTTGTTTGACATTTATCCGACCATAAGTTTTCCAAATATTCGCGACTATCGTCTCCATCAATTAGACGCATGCCTTTTCACACACATCGAAGCGGTTTAATGATCAAGAGTCATTTCCGTTGTTTACTTTATATATTTCCCGGGCGACAATTGATGGTTACATCAATGTTTTCTTGTTTTATGTAGTAATCCATAAATGCATTAAATGCAACTCATTGAGCTGATTGGTCTATTTGTGTCCCTTACTGAACAGACGTCACAAAAAATATTTTCCTAGACCTGATGATTCTCGCGATGCTTTTCCCGCGCACATGCGCAGATCCAGGATAAACATCAGTCCTTTATAAATATGCATGAGAATATCGTGCTCTTTTCCTGACAAGTACTTTGTTAATACCGAATAAAATTTCGTCGAATTTGCAAGAATTTTTGGTAGCTTATCATACTCCAGAAATTTTTGTTCGGTTTCACCTGTGCAAAAATACTGTTTAACACGGCATACATATCTTTAACTGCCGCTATAGGGTTCGATGTTATGAACGATAACTCATTGCTGAAACTTGTTTAGAGCTGGTCTGAGGTATCTAACTTTTTATACGCAAGTCAGTTTTAAGTGTTTCCCAAGTGTTTCTTTGTTGTCAGTAAAATCCATTGGTTTTAAAATTTAGAACAAATGTTAAACATATTTACTGTATATACTCACCTAACTGCAGAACTGTAGCTCTCCGAAAAAATCAAAGTACTGATAGTACTCATGGGAGTTGAACATTGTTATCTGAAAGAGAAGTATAGGAACATCTTCATGCATTCAGATTCAAGTCAGCTAGAACTGATTTGTTAGAGATACAAAACGAAACATTAAAAATAATTTCTATTGCATTTAAATAGCCAAGATCATGGGACTGCTCGTAAATTAGCTGCAGAATTGTAGCTCTCCGAAAAAAAGATTTTGACAGACCGGAGAGCTACAGTGCCATCCATTGAAAAAACTGTATATTTATTGCGCACGAACAGTTAAGTTTAGTTCTGGATTAATTCTTTCTAATTCTTACCTCAACAATTTGACCAAACCAAACAAACAACCCCCATCACCAAAAAAATATTTTTTTCAATCTCGAAAATACTATTTTTGTTGTTAGGTTTTAAACTTCTTTCAGTACCATTTATGACTAAAACGCAAACACTACCCTTATATTTCTGAAACATTTGAATCAAAACGCCCCCTACTCTGTCTCTCTTTAGAATGTGTACAAGATATTGGGTCCCAAGAAACAAACAAACAAACACTCTTGATATTCGATGTTACCATCACCAGACACTAGATTGTCATTTTTCTTCCTCTGATTAAAACAAGTATTGGCTATGCTCTTTTGGGTATGAATGTTTCTTTTCGGACACAATAATTAATTTTTATAGAACTCCATGCTTATCTATTTTATCAAATGTATCTATCTTTATAACTTAATCATCAGTTTTGTTATTCCATAATTTTAAATTTCATTTCAAGTAATATCTATATAGAAGTCAGTATGTCTGAATACTTTACATTTTGTTTGTTTTACGTTCGATAATTTTTCAATCATATTAAAACACTTAGCTACACGTAAGTCTACAAATTTTTACCTATACACGGCTCTCAAAACCATTGTACGGAAGCGCATTAGGGCCGCAGCAGTATTTCTTTTTTAATTTGTTATAACAAATTATTAATTTGTTATAACAGAGTGATAATTTGTTATAACAGAGTGATAATTTGTTATAACAAATTAATAATTTGTTATAACAAATGACTAATTTGTTTAAACAAATTGATAATTTGTTTTAACAAATTGATAATTTGTTTTAACAAATTGATAATTTGTTTTAACAAATTGATAATTTGTTTTAACAAATTGATAATTTGTTTTAACAAATTGATCATTTTAATACGTATAATATATGTTTGTATTTGTATATTTGTTATTACAAATTAGTTATCTGTTATAACAAATTAGTAATCTGTTATAACAAATTATTAATTTGTTATATCAAATTAATATTTTATTATAACAAATAAATAATTTGTTATAACAAATAAATAATTTGTTATAACAAATTAATAATTTGTTTTAACAAATTAATAATTTGTTTTAACAAATTAAAAAAAAGATACTGCTGCTGCGGCCCTAATACGCTTCCATACCATAGAGTAGTGAGGGCAAGCACATACTGCGACATGGGATTTCGGTTTATATGGTCTCATAATGC